ATTTTGAAAATGGCATCATCGATGTCACAACTACAAGTTTATTTGGTATGAACTTATACATTGTATTCTCATAATAATGAAATGGCAAAATGTCTCAATAAAAGCATGTATCAATAATTAAAATTCTGTACTATGACTAAAGCATCTTAAGATTCCTGAACTGGTTTAATTTTAATTTTTTCTTCTTCTTTCGTTCTCATACCTTGTTGGAAGAGTTTAAAGAAATTAATTGCTCCAAAATATTTTCGAGTCACAAATGTTGTCTTACACACTTGGAATTTGAGATTGCAAAATAAATAAATAAATAAATAGTTGTATCTGCTATAATGACATCTTCTAAATTCCTTTAAATTGGGAGAATGCTTAACATCATTAGGTAACTCATTGTTTTTAATCCATTAACAGTATTAACACACATTTCTGTGATCAAATTTCCTCTGAACGGTGGGAATATAAAAATTGACTGCATTTCAAGTGTTTCGGTCGTGGAAACTGCAAATGGGTATACAAAAGTCTGGTAGATTCTCTGGTAAGGATCGCTGCACGATTTTGAATATAAAAATAAGTGTTTGTAAGTAAATTGTATGTTTTACACTTAGAACCCCCAAGGCTTGTAACATTGTCTTTATACTTGTATGTCGATTAAAGTTAAGAAGAACATGTAGTACCATGTTTTGTCTCTTTTGTATTTGTGCAATTTCAGAGTGAGTTAGTGTGATCAATACTGTTGGACAATAGAACAAATGTGGTTGTATGTTGTATAACAGATTTTCAAATTGAAGTTTTTGCCCACGCAGTAAGAGTATCAAGCAGACGACCCAATGCATATACTTTCTTCGCTTTTTTCCTTGTTACATAGGTCGCATGTTTGGTAAAAGTTAGATGTTGGGCGATAATAACTCCCAGATACTTGTTGAATTCCCCCACTTTTTCTATTTGAATGCCATCTATTTCTACACAGTGGTGTAATTGATCCTCTTGCGCCGTGCCTCTATTTTTCACTATCATAAACTTAGTCTCTTCAATATTTATTTATTTTTATTATTATTAGAATTACAATAGCAAGCGGTCGAAACCGATGAAGCTATTGTTACTTTAACAAAATTTTAAAAGGATATATGAATTTTAGTTTATGCACCATAATGAATTATTCTTTCTGAGTATTCTTTCAATTCTCTGTCAACACGATTTTCAAAAATATTAGTGGTTGGTGCTGAGACTGTATTTTGGCAAAGCAAATTCCAAGAATGCACTACACGGTTTACACTATAAAGTTTTTCCTAGGTACTTCTGATGATCTTTCCTTTTCAAGCTTCTTAGAATGGCCACGAAGATGAAAATATCAGATTACACTGATAGTACTCAGTGGGTATTTTGTAGGTTTCAAATAAATCGCCTATGTGCCTTCTTTCTTTAAGGGATGTCAAATTGAAATTCTTTCCGCTTTCCGGATATAGCAACTGTTTCAACTGTGGGGGAATTTTTGTCACTCTACGCTGAATCTTCTCAAAAAGTTCTATATCCTTAATGTAATATGGATTCCACACAATATAAGCATATTCTATTTTTGGCATTTAGTGATGTAAAATGCTCGAGCAAGTATTTTCGAAGAACGTTCTCCGAGCAGGATCGAGAATTAACGAGCATAAACGAGCAAAAACGAGCAGGACCCGAGAATTTATCCTTTTCATCAGAAGCTGAATAAAACAAAACATTTTTGTAAATAAATTCTGATTTTTCTCAAATTTCCCGAAATTCCCAAATTTCTGGTGAAAGTTCTGATTATTCTGAAAATTCTTCATAAATGTGCTGAAAATTCTCAAACTTCTTAGGAAAATATAATACATATTTAGGACCGATACTTTTGCTCTCGATTAACGAATTTGATACATTGTCAAAGTTTTGCATGGGCCAAGGTCTATAAGTATGATGTGGTTAGAGCACATTCTAACCCCTGATTATTTTTAACTGTCAAATGAGGGCAAAAGTACCAGCATTCAATCTCATAATTTGTGTCAGGTTTGACAACAATAATAATTCTAATTTGGGGTTTTCTGTGGAACTTCAACATACAATTATCATTAGGAGACTTTTTTTGATAATAAAATAAAATAGTGATTTTAGTTTCAGTATATTCCAGTACAACGCTACCTTTGCTTACAAAAAAATAGCTATTGCTGCTAAGTTGCTTTCTGGTTCTCGTGCTCAATATTCGATATATCTCCGCCTTCAACAGCTCGTGCTTGAGAACGTGCTGAATATTCTCTATCGTGCTCAATGTGCTCCGAAAGTAATATTCAGCACGAACCTTTTTTTCGTGCGCGAACGTTCGCGAATGTTCTCGAAAGCACAATCAGAACGTTCCCTTGTTCACATCACTATTGGCATTATATAGCTTTCTAATTCGCATCTATCAAAGGATTTGCATAGATTTTGCAATCATCTGCACACAATTTAACACTTGATTGGATTAGTTCCACCAAATCAAAAAGATACGCTGTGCACAAAACCGGACCGATCACCGAACCATGCCTGACGCCACTGGTTACTCTATGGGGACTGGAAAGCTCTCCATTAACTCTCACTTGAAAAAATCTATCTATATAGCAGATCCTTGATCAAGGCAAGCAACTTTCCTCTAACTCCAAAGTTCTTTAATTTCACTAATAACAGGTTATGTGTGACTTTTTCAAATGCTTTTTCAGTTTTTCATAATCTAGATAGATAACATTCAGCATTCTGGGGTTTCTAAACTCAGACATCCGTTCAGTCAGTGTTTGTCTTACAGAAAAGAGCCCTCAGAACTTTATGCAATGCAGCTTACCAACAAACCTGCAAACCCCTCTTTGTTCGGGAATGGATCTTGACAGTGCCATCAATTTTCATTCTGGAGACGGCCTGCTTGATTTTCAAGAAGTTTCGGAACTATGATGGGATTGAGAGCTATAGTTTACACACACCCCCACCTTTTTGCTTTTGCCGGTCTTGACGGTATGCAGTATACCCATCTAAATTAATCAAACTATTACACAAGCTTTTTTGCAGCCAAGTTTCTGTGAGTATTATAAAAGTGGAATTTGATGACATAACTATTGCTTTCCATTCATCAACTATATAAACTACTGAACTTAAATTACTATACCAAAATATAACTTCAATCACCCCAGACATATTTAGTTTTTTTCAATAGGTCTATGTATTTTATAGTTAAATTTGTTTTACCCTCAGCCTTTTTTTACTCCAGGTCAGTGAGAAAATTCTTTGAAACCCTCCTCTGGGGCTCTGTTTGATTATTTTTCATATATGTACCTACCTGCTTCTTCTTCTTCAAGTACTTTTCTGCGTTTGAGAGCTTGCAGTGCTTCTTCTTTTGTTGCAAAAACAACTTTAAGCGGTCTTTTCTTGTGGGGAACCCCCCGACCAAGTCTGAATAATTTTTCTGTTTCTGGCAGAACAATATTCGTTTTTGAAAATAACACTGTAACTACCTCTCTATCTTCTTTTGCTTTTTCTTGAGGGTTATTTATTTTTTTTTGACTCTTCAACTGCAAATATTAAAACGTTGGTGGCACGATTTTCTCTCTCTTTTAGTTCATTCTCTCTTCTTTAGTGCATCTCCATAGTTTGTTCCAGGCAATTTTTTGTTTACTTGACTCATCTCATTCTTGACCACACTTATTTCACTTCTCATAACTTCATTTTCCTTTCTCCTCCGCTCCATTGAGCCTTTAAGCGAATCCACCTCTGTTTTAAGGGCTGCCAAGTTTTTTGCCGTTTTATCACCTTGCTCCATTGTTGGTTTTAGTTCATTCTCAGTGTTTTGTAGTTGCTGCTGCCCTCCGGATAACTTTTTGATAGCTTCCTTGCATTTAGGACAAAAATATAATGTAACTCGTGATAGGCTCGGAACAACTCTGATTTCCTGTGCCACTAGACCAAATTACTTCCTTGCAAAAATCGCATGGGTAACCGAAGAGTTTGCCCCTATCTTCCTTTAGAACACAGTTTGTTGCATTTATGGCATTTCTGGGACATTCTAGCCTCGCTTATGTGAAACACCAATTTTCCACTTTATTTAGAAAAAACGCCTAATGTTTTGAATAAAAACTCAATGATTATTAACGCATTAAATGCGGCGATATTACAAAAAAATAACTCAAATAACTCTAGATTTTCAAGTTTAAGCGTAGCAAAATGTGTAAAAAACTCTGCCACTTTGTTGATTTAATTTCAGATTATTGTATTGTAACTTGTAACCACCTTAAAATGGATTTCAGTTCTCTGTTAATGGTTTTTACTATGTGTTGTACATCATTTACAATCAAGTACAATAATGTATCATCTGCAAATAGTTGTATGTTACAATTTTTTATAATAAACAAATCTGCGGCACTCCCAGTGTGATTTCTCTACTCGATTATTCGTTGTTGCTATATCTCGTTTTCTGTGTCCTGTTCTGCAAGTAACTCTCAATCCATCGTAAAGCATTTCCATATTCCGCGTGTTGCTAAATTCACCAAAATGGTGCACCGCCACGGATGCGGTGATTAAAATTCACTAATGCTAATGTCAAACCACTGCTTGTCAAACCCTGGTTAATTTAACAACCAGGGTTCGCTGATATATATCAAGTGATAAATATCATGATATATATCACGATATATATCATGATATTTTCACTTCAATAAATATCAAAATTCGTGATATATATCAAAGATGAAAAAAATATTAATTTTCCGCGATAAATTGGCTACACTGCATCAATAAACGGCAAGCGGCAACGACGCATCATGCCGGTTGCGGCTGTCGGGGATTTATATGCTCGATCTCGTGTGATTCCCCTGCGGGTGCTGTGTGCAGTTGAGATTTCGAGGTCGCTTATTATAGAGCATTTGACTTCGGCGTCCAGCGCAATTTTAAGGTTAAGCGGAAAAATTCCGAAAAATATAATCTAGTTGAAGATTTATGATATATTGTTTACATAATCAACATGCCTAGAGACAAACATCCCATATGGCAGCATTTTTATTGCCAATCAAAAGAAAAAAATACTGGTAAATGGGCAAAATGCAAAACCTGTGGAGCTGAAATGCAGGGTATACCACAGAGATTAATTAAACATAATATGACATGTAATAACGACGAATCACAAGCACAAGAGATAATGGATATCACTGAAGAAAATGATGCTGCTCCAGCTCAACCTGCTCAAGGTACAGAGGGGCCCACAAATTTAACACGTAAAGAGCCAACCCAGAAACCAAAAAGAAAAAGAGTCTCTGAGTCTGTGGAAAATCTGCAGACCTCGATTGATAGACCAGGTAGGCATCTTTTTTAGCTCATAAGAAACAAAACCTTTGAAATTTTTCAGTTTTTTTTGTTCAATTTTTTCGGAGAATACTCAATGTTTTGGTAATTTTAAGTCTCTAATTGTAGGCTGGCCATGAGCATGCAACATGCAAGTTTAACTTAACTATTTCGTTTTTTAGGTACGTCATCGTCATCCGATGTCGACTTGCCATTGCCACTAATGCCACTTAATAAAAAATACAAACCATCATCTAGCAAGCTAAATATTATTAAAGACAACGCAGTAATAGCAACATCTCCGCAGTATTTAAAAGAAATTCATTAAAAAATAGCAACATATTTTTACGCCACAAATACCCCTTTTTCCCATGCGGACAGTTCTCATTTCCACAAAATGTGTAATACTCTAAGACCTGGATGTAAGCCTCCTACAAGTCGAAAAATAGCTGGCGAGTTATTGGATCAAGTACATCAGACCATAATGGAGGAAACCAAAGAAATTCTAAAAGGTACGAATTTGTCAATGTCCTTAGATGGGTGGTCGAATGTTCATAATGAACCAATTATTTGCTGCTCCGTTATGACAGCGTATGGAGATTCTTTCTTAATAAAAACTGTTGACACATCTGGCCACCCACATACTGCTGACTATTTGAAAGATATAGCTATTGAGGCAATAACTGAAACTGAAAAGTTATTTGATGCTAAGGTGACAAGTTTAGTCACTGATAATGCAGCAAATGTATCAAAAATGAGAAGATTGCTAGAGATCGTCCCAGGAATGAATATTATTCAGTATGGATGTTCGGCTCATATTCTACATTTGCTAGCTTGCGATATACAGATTCCAGGACTAATGCAGCATATAATTAAGGTTATAAAATATTTTAGAAATACACATCTTCCAGCAGCCTGGTATAAGGCAGCCAACGGAAAAAGGTTAGTTATTCCACAAGAAGTACGTTGGAACACTGCAACTGATGCAATAGAATGCTACCTGGAAAACCGGGGTATATTAGTTCAGGTCTGTCAAGACAACAAAGAATCAGTTGACAGTAATATTTCTAGAATTGTCAATGACATAAACATCACAAACAACGCAAGAGATTTCTTGCTTCGAATGAAACCTATTGCAGTTGCACTGGATAGAATGCAACGAGATGGTTCGACAATAGCAGTGGCAGTTGAAATATGGAGGAAGTTAGGTGGGGATCTTAAGGGGCAGCCTGAAAATGTTTTAAAAGAGTTTAAGAAGCGAAAGGAAATGGCTTTGACTCCAGCACATTATTTAGCAAATTTATTGGATCACAGATTTCGAGGACATCAAATAAGTAATGCAGAAAAACAATTAGCATTTGAATATTTACAGAACATCAATGACGCGTTTATTCCTATAGTAATGGCACTAACTACGTGCTCAAAGCCTTTCCCTTCCTATATGTTTGGAAATAATTTTAAAACTACACCTCCAATGACATGGTGGAAGGCTGTAAGTTTGATTGAGCCAGAAAAGTACTTTGACTGGGCCAAGCTCCAAAAAGGATTTCTGGATATGTGCAGCAAGCATTTGATAGCAGTTTCAGCCTCAGCAGGCCTTGAACGAATTTTTTCGACTTTTGGATTTGTTCATAGCAAACTAAGGAATAAGCTGGGGAATGAAAAAGCTGGCAAACTAACATTTTTGTTTAGGCACTTTAACCAGAATACGAAAGATAAAGCTGTCAATCTGGATTTTGTCTGGGAAGCAGAGACAGAGACAACAAAAGCATCTGGATCTTATGCAACCCCTAGTATTGTATCTGCTGATATAGATTCTGGAGCAGAAGATGATGTGCCACTGGCGGCACTGGCTACATTATTACATTAACATTAATAATATTAATGGGTATTAATTTAAAGTTCTGAGTTCTGGTATTTTTAGTTTAGAAGAAATGTTTTTGTTTCCTAAGTTCTTGTATTTTTGAAAAAACGTTGTTGTTTTGCTTCATTAAAATGTATTTTTATTTTTGATATTATATTAAAGCATTAATTTTGAAACTGAATGTTTTTTTTTTTTTTTAAAATCTGAAAATATCAAAAATATCCATTTTCTTGATATATATCCGATTTATATCAATAATATCCGATATTTTGATATTTTCAATAAATATCATGATATTTACGAACCCTGTTAACAACACTGCTTGTTCTACCATTCCACCACGGTGCCTACACCAGGAGCGCTATTCTGTACATGGCACCGACAGTCGTCGGTATCGGTATATTACCAACAGCTATCGGTTGCGCGGCCGACCGAATCAAGACGACGCTATTCTGTTATCTGTACGCCACAGTTACCGACCGTCGGAAATGCAACTGACAACCATCGGTTTATGAGTGACGTCACTTAAAAGTCACTCGATTCGGTAGGTTCAGCCAATGAGTTTTGAGGAGGGGAGATTTGACTGATTTGAATTTGTAAACAAATAAACACAGTTTTTCAATTTATTATTTCTCTCAAATATTATTTCAAATTATCAATTTAAATCAAAATCAAAACAAATTTATTAGGTATACAAAGCTGCTGTGAAAAGTTAAAACCTTGTTCTAGTAGGTGCTGAAGCTGATGACATAATTTTTCAGATGGTACAGCTGCCTTGCCTAATAGCATCCTGTGGCATAAAATCTTGATGCTGTGAGAACCTGTGACCAGAAAAAAAAATTAAATTTATACTATACCTTACTGTTGTTTCTTTTTCCCTATAGGGCATGTCCATGTGACGTCACAAATGAGTTTGACAGTCGCCCTGAGGTAAAACTAATCATTTATTTACATGAGTGTAAATTAGGCTGGTTATGTTTTATACGGTTTTCACAGCTTTTTTACAAGTTTTGGTGTTATTTTGTTTTAAAAAAGTTAGAGCGGAGTGTTTGTGTTCCAGTCTATGTGGTTTTTTATCTAAAAGTTTGCTAGGTTTTCCTATAATGCATTAAATTCAGGTTTTTTCCAACAAATATCAAAACCAAGTGTCACAAGAACAAATATATAAGTATAGTTACTCTATATTCAATCGATTTTTCTGTCAGATCTTCTCTTTTAAGAACATTATAGTCCGGGGGCCGAGGACCTTTTTTCCAAATCATTAATAACAAGCTAGTTTTTTCAATGCAGCTTCATTTCACCGAGACGCCCAACTTTTTTTTCTTCGAAAATTGCGAAAACAGGTAGCTAACATACTGCGCAGGTGTAAAACATGTCGATTTGGTGACTATGAAAATTTAATTAATAACAGTTAGTTTTTCAGCTCAATGTTGAGATAATTTTATGAATAATTTGAAACAACATTTGTCCGACAAAATAAAGGGTTTGGTCTACGATGTCCCCCCCCTCAAACATGTAGCAATTACGTTGCATAAAAAATGATTAATAACAAGTTGATTTTTTCAATGTAGGTCGGTAAATATTATTACAATTAAATGGTCACACTGTCCTACAAGTAAACAGGTAGCTATTTTCAGTCCTACACTCAAAAGTTGTCGATTTCACGATTTAACTTTTTTCATTAATAACCGGCTAAATCTTCGTGAGTATCTTCATTTTGATAAGACGCCCAAATTTTCTGTTGCGAAAATTCCAAAAACAGGTAGCTAACAGAGGGCGCAGGTGGAAAACATGTCTATTTGGTGATCATACAAATGTAAATAATAACAGTTAATTTTGAAGCTGAATGTTGAGATAGTTTCATAAATAATATGAAACAACATTTGTCCGACAAAATAAATGGTTTGATCTAGGTTGTATCCCTTCTCAAACTTGTAGCAGATACGTTACATAAAAAATTATTTATAACCAGTTGATTTTTTTAATGTAGCTTAGTAAATATTACTACAATTAAATGGTTACACTGTCCTACAAATAAATAGGTACATTTCTCCAGTCCTACACTCAAAAGTTGTCGACTTCACGGTAATACCTTTATTGATCAATCACCGGCTAAATCTTCTCGAGCATCTTCGTATTGATAATACGCCTAACTTTTCTATTGCGAAAAGTTGCAAAAGTAGTAGCTACCAGAGTGAGCATTAGTGAGCACATGTAATGTCTGCCCAGCGACTCTGTTTCTACGGGGCAACGGTAAGGGGAATGCAGTTGTAAAAAAAAATGGCTGATTTCATTCATAAAATACCCAGCTGCGTGCGGATTTTTTTTGGAAGTGTTATCGTATTGCAACTCCTACACGAAAATCGAAAATGACCAAACCCCCGCCACTGGATATTTCAATATAAATCGATATTCCAAGATGGGAGGATACAATGACAGAAGCCCTGGCCAATAGCGAGACGTAAGGTGACGTTTAGCCCATTGACAACGACATGGTTCCTCGTGGCAACGGCCATCCTGCCAAAAACTCCACCAATCAGGTTCATCCAGGCCAGATGCTTGCCAAATTGTCAAAACCTGATGGTATCTTTAGAAAATGTTTATTTTTTACAATGGACAAAATTGAAGAAATCAGTTATTAGAATAAGAATAGATCTAACAACCACGTTGAAATATTTAGCGTTTTATTGGTATCTATATTTTGTTATTAAAAAATGGATTTTCAAATGAACTATACCTACTTCATGCCTAGTATTTTCGCTTTTTTATAATTAAACGTGACAACATGGCACATTTACGTCCGAATTCCTTCCGTAGACTCAGATCCGCTGGGCAAACAATAAAATACCTTGATTAGGTGATTATACAAATGTAATTATTAACAGTTAACAGTTAATTTTTCAGGTGAATAATGAGATAATTTTATAAATAATTCGAAATTCGATTGGAGCCACAAAATAAATGGTTTGGTCTGCAGTGTCCCCTTTCTCAAAAATGTAGCAATTACTGGCTCATAAAAAACGATTTATAACCAGTTGATTTTTTTACTGTAGTTTGGTAAATATAACTACAATTGAATGGTCACGTTGTCCTAAAGAGGTAAGATTTCTCAGTCCTACATTCGAGAATTTCGAAGATAGCCTTATGCATATTATACGTAAATATGTACAGGGCTTTCATTTCAAAACTTGCCACTCACGTTATCTGCATAAATAGACAGATTTCTAGAAATCGCCGAAACATGTCAACAAATTTATTGAGGGGGTGCGTTAATTTGTTGACGTGTTCCGGCGATTTCCAGAAATCTGTCTCTTTAGGCAGATAACGTGGGTGGCAAATTTCGAAATGAAAGCCCCTGTATGTACATATGTACGTATACAGATGCGTGTATAACAGTATATGTGTTATGTGTATGTACACATACCTACATTTATGTCGATGGTTTCCATTCGCATCGACGCGCATGCTCGTAAATAACACAGTATCGTAGTATAGGGTGATTCAAAAAGCGCGCCAGATTTGAATTGCTCGAAAAAGAGTTTTGGCATGCCATCAAAGTAGAGGGGGCCATGCCCTTTGTCATTTTCCATACCCAGATGGAGAAGGTTTGATCCAACCGGTTCATCTTAATTCTAAAGATATTTAAAAAAAATAGAGCTCCTTTTTTAATGTATTAAATCTGGCGCGCTTTTTTGCTGTATATAGGGTGAATACAGGGTGTTTTCTAAGTTAGAGTTTTTCTTTTTAAATAACGTGGAACTTAAAAAAATACAAGAGTTTTCCAAATAATATTTTCTCGACAGCTCAAAAATGAAAGAGATAGGTATGTTCATTTCAAATAATATCAAAAATCAAATATTTTAATAATTATATTTTTCAAAATACAAAAGGTAAAATTATTGAATTTAATCTTTTTTTCCAGAAATCTGTCTCTTTACGCAGATAACGTGGGTGGTAAGTTTTGAAATGAAAGCACTGTACATATTTACGTATAATATGCATAAGGAAGGCTATTTTCGAAATTCACGAATGTAGGGCTGAGAAATGTTACCTCTTTAGGACCATTCAATTGTAGTGATATTTACCAAACTACAGTGAAAAAATCAACTGGTTATAAATCGTTTTTTATGAGCCAGTAATTGCTACATTTTTGAGAAAGGGGACACTGAAGACCAAACCATTTATTTTGTGGCTCAAATCGAATTTCGAATTATTTATAAAATTATCTCATTATTAACCTGAAAAATTAACTGTTAACTGTTAATAATTACATTTGCATAATCACCTAATCAAGGTATTTTACATGTGCTCACTAGTGCTCACTCTAGTAGCTACTACTTTTGCAACTTTTCGCAATAGAAAAGTTAGGCGTATTATCAATACGAAGATGCTCGAGAAGATTAAGCCGGTGTCCGGTGATTGATGAATAAAGTATTACCGTGAAGTCGACAACTTTTGAGTGTAGGACTGGAGAAATGTACCTCTTTATTTGTTGGACAGTGTAACCATTTAATTGTAGTAATATTTACTAAGCTAAATTAAAAAAATCAACTGGTTATAAATCATTTTTTATGTAACGTATCTGCTACATGTTTGAGAAGGGAGACAGCCTAGATCAAACCATTTATTTTGTCGGACAAATGTTGTTTCATATTATTTATGAAACTATCTCAACATTCAGCTACAAAATTAACTGTTATTATTTACATTTGTATGATCACCAAATAGACATGTTTTCCACCTGCGCACTCTGTTAGCTACCTGTTTTTGGAATTTTCGCAACAGAAAATTTGGGCGTCTTATCAAAATGAAGATACTCACGAAGATTTAGCCGGTTATATTAATGAAAAAAGTTAAATCGTGAAATCGACAACTTTTGAGTGTAGGACTGAAAATAGCTACCTGTTTATTTGTAGGACGGTGTGACCATTTAATTGTAATAATATTTACGAACCTACATTGGAAAAATCAACTTGTTATTAATCATTTTTTATGCAACGTAATTGCTACATGTTTGAGGGGGGGGGACATCGTAGACCAAACCCTTTATTTTGTCGGACAAATGTTGTTTCAAATTATTCATAAAATTATCTCAACATTTAGCTGAAAAACTGTTATTAATTAAATTTTCATAGTCACCAAATCGACATGTTTTACACCTGCGCAGTATGTTAGCTACCTGTTTTCGCAATTTTCGAAGAGAAAAAAGTTGGGCGTCTCGGTGAAATGAAGCTGCATTGAAAAAACTAGCTTGTTATTAATGATTTGGAAAAAAGGTCCTCGGCCCCCGGACTATTAAGGTTTAGTCAGGCATA